TGCTGGCATGCCCGCGCACAAACCACACCATACCCAAGAAGGACGGCTTGTGTTGACGCAGATCCACGCAGCCCAGAGCACCAGGCCGTGAGATTCGCGAATGCCAACACCAAATTCATATAAACAAAAACAGAATGGAGACAGAAACCAAAACAGAGCAAACCCAATATCTCATTCAATAACATATCAATATATCATTCAATATCACATATCACTTAATCAGAAACCAAGTTAAAGTTTTACCTGTCTTGCGGCCCTCCCTTACTGCAGCTGGCTGCATCTTTATAGCCTACAGAACTCAGCATCCATATATATCCTTACACTTTAAGAAAATAAAAAAAAACAACGCAAAAAGAATATTAGGCTGAAAGAATGACACTGCTACCTCACTAACCCAATCGAATCTGAAATCAAATATAAAAAATCCAACACCGCTGATAAATGTAGAAATTAAAATAGAAAATCAAAATCACAATAGCATAAACAAAATTGAAACAAAAAGGAAAAGAGGGAGATGATACCTTGATAAAATCTTGGTCTCCAATCAAACTAATTTTAGGATAAAATCTTGAACATAGAAGAGTGACAGAGAGAGAATCAATCCCCTGCTGGAATTTTTATGTCACAAAAGAAGTATGTTCAAGAAGTCTTGGACTGGTTTCATATGAAGGATTGCAATCTAGTTGGAACCCCAACATCGTCTGATATAAAGCTTGTGAAGAATTTGGATGGAAGAAAGGTTAATCCCACTCTTTATAAGAAAATTGTGGGAAGCCTCATGTATTTGACTTCAACTAGGTAGGATATTATGCATGTTGTGAGTCTTATTAGTCGTTTTATGAAGAATCCTACAGAGCTTCATCTTGCAGCAAAAAGAATTTTTCGCTATTTAAAAGGTACGATTGATTTTGGTGTTTTCTATAAGAAGGAAGCAAAGTCTAGTTTGTTTGGTTTTACAAACAGTGGCTATGCGGGAGATCAAGATGATCGAAGGAGCACTTCAGGATATGTGTTTATGATGGGTTCAGGGGCAGTTGCCTGGTCATCTAAGAAGCAACCGATTGTGACTTTCTCAACAACCGAAGCTGAATTTGTTGCAGCAGCATCCTATGCATGCCAAGCCATTTGGCTGAGAAGGTTAATTGAAGCACTTCACTACATGCAGCAAGGTCCAACATCAATCTATTGTGATAATGTTTATGCTATTAAGCTTTCGAAAAATCCAGTTTTGCATGGAAGAAGCAAACATATTAATGTGAGATATCATTTTCTTCGTGATCTCTGCAAGGATGATGTTATTAATCTGATTTATTGTAAAAGTGAGGACCAAATTGCTGATATTTTTACCAAGCCTCTCAAGATGCCTATGTTCGTGAAATTGAGAAATTTGTTGGGAGTTAGTTCTATGAAGGATGTTGCTCATTGCTCCTGATGGTTGAAGAATTGAAGTTTTACCTTTAAACTGATTGTCTGCAAAACATTCAGTTTAAGGGTTGGTTAGCAAAGTAAGCATCTATGCGGTTGTACCAAGATCTAGGTGCTTGTTTCAGCCCATAGAGTGCTTTGTTCAACCTATATACCTTTTTCTCTTTTCCCTGTTGCACACAGGCACGGACCTTAGTACAGGCTAACCTGGGCTACAGCCCGGGGGCTTTTAGTTTTTCTGAGCTTAAATTAACATTTAGCCTGGCTGCCATAAGAAAGAACAGAGAGATGAGCAGACGGAGAGAGAAGAAAGAACAGAAGAAGAGAGGAAGAAGGAAAAAGAAAAAGGAAAGAGGGATAGAGAGAGAGAGAGAGGAAAAAAGAATAAAAAAAGAGAGGGAGAGATTAAAAAGGAGAGAGACAAGAAAACAAAATATAATAAAAAAGAGAGAGGGGGAGATGTATTTTGTCAGGTGCACTGCCCCAAAATGGGATGTTTTCATTTTATTATTACTTTCTTTTTTAACTTCAATTCCTTATAAATATCTTTTGTTTTTTTTGTTTTTTTATTTCCCTTCAATCCCTTCCAAATATTTCAACAATATTATTAATAATTCCAACATTTTCTCTGTTTCAAATGTCGTATAATAACAAAAAGTTCTAAATACGATGAAGAAAATATACTGAAAAAAGTGCTTATATAAAATAAAAATATAACAAACAAGGGCTTATAATTTACCTCAAAAAAATTTAGCCACCTCTGTGGGTTACCTTTAGTTTTTAGTACCTAAAATCTATTGTTCAAGCCTAAAACTCAAGGTAAATTTTCTTAATATATTTGTACTTAAGGTAAATTTAGCCCGCTCGATTTGCAATTCCTGAGTCCGTCCCTGGGTACGGATCAAGAATCCTTTTCACACTTTTAAGCTGGCTGCACTAGATACACAAAAGAAAATCAGAAAAATAATAATAATAACAACATCGCAATGAATTAAATAACCTATTTCATCGCATGATAAAGCCATTGTACGAATTCATATGATGTTATCTGTGACTCTATGTCATGTCACTTTGGCATTATATATTAAAATATTAATTCAAATAATTAGTAGCCAGATTGATAATTTGGCAAAAGAACGTTTTCTTGATATAATAATGATTTGTAAAACAAAATATGATACAATATTAATTAAACATTTCCCATGTTTTGAATTTGCAATTATTATGAATTGTTTATATAGAAATATTTGGTAGAAGGCGTGAAACAGAACTTAGATGTTGTTTTCAGTTCAACACCATCAATCAAGCACAAAGCATGAAAAAGTATAGCATTATTGTTAATTTAATTACTATATATTAATTAACTGAAGCACTAAAACACCATTAATTTCTCTTATGAATTGGATTATTAAATTGATTAAACCACCAACAATGTCTTCAAGCACCACCGCTCAACTAAAGATCCCATAAACAACCAAGGTGGTTGGTGTGAGTGGTTCGGCACTCTCATTCCTTAAGAGAGGTTAGGGGTTCGATCTCTGCTCTCGTACGGAGTCACCACTTTGGCCAACACTTTACCCCTTACGGGCCGACCCGGTGTGAGTGGGGATTAGTTTGGGTTGTGGTTAAGACTTAAAGGTGCCACCCATAGTTGGGGCCCATCCAGGACCACCTCATGGTTTAGATAAAAAAAAAAAAAAATCCCATAAACCACAAACCATGAAAAATCACACACAGGCTTGTTCGTTGTCATCTTTTTCTCTCTGCCTCATTTCTCATGTGATCTTGTGTTGCTACTTGGGGCGTGTTGTGTACTATAATATTGTAATTAACTCAACCACTTTAACATCATCATTTGCTCTTCTGACTTGGCTGCTTGAATTTGGACTATTAAACTGATTTCAATGTCTGCTAATTAAGTCAATTAGATTGAAATATTTGACCTAACCTACTAGTATAAGAGAACGTGAAGAGAATTTGTACGATTATTAAGCAGTGACGTGGTTTGAACTCAATTTCAATTCCGTCCAGGTTATACGTATTCCGATCATGTATTTTCTCTTGTAAGTTGTAACATAGATTATAAACATGTCATAAGAGAATTTTGGCCGCCCAATATTGTACTTTATTCATATTTGGTTTTGACCTTTTAAATCTCAAAGTGGAAATCAAGAGAAGGATAGCCTAGTCAAAACACCAAGAGAGTTATTTCAAGTAATGTGGCCTATTAGGGCCATTACCATACCAAACTGGTTTAAAGACTCTTTAGTGGAGGGCCTTCAACACAACAAACAATAGTAACAAAAGTCCATGAATTATTTTGGATTGGATAGGGCGAGACATAAAGCAAATCTCAACTCAAGGCCACAACGTGTTTAACATGCTTTAGTAAAATTTATGGAAAATTAGATCACAATCCCAGGCAACCATTCTTTTTCAAATAAAATTATAGGGATCCACCAATAGGGTCTAGTTTAGTGGAAAAAGATCTTGATTTGCAGGCCAGTGGTCTTAGGTTCGAACCTCCATGATAACTTAGTAGTGTGAGTGTATTAGAAACTCCACTCTCCCTTTTAGTTTAGACTAGCCCAAAGTTGAGGTTTAAACCCATCTTTGAGAATATACTGCATCTCCACTTCTAGTAAAACAAGTAGGGTAGAAGTAAATATGTAACTTGGCAGGCAAGGGAAAGTTCCAAATAAACTCCCAACTCCAACCACTCATTCAAAGAAAAAAGGGGTTGTATAAGCAGACTTTATAGAGAAAGCCCCATAGAGATAAGTTTATTCTCTCTTGTGGGGTGAATCTTTCAATAATTTCCTGAGGAGGGCATAGCATATGCCATTCTAAATTCGAGCCGCTACTAATAGTTTTGATAATAGATTGAATACCAGTGGAGCAATCTAATCAAATCTAGTAAGTGGAATTGTTTGGCTGATTGTAAGACCAAATTAGTTTTTTGGTACATTTTTCACGAACAGATTAAAGCACAAAAAACTTGGGTGAAAATGAAGTTCCGGATGAATACTTGAATTATGGATCACAAATCTCAAGACTTATCCATTCAATTTCAATAGAGAACAATCCGCAAGTTCACTAGATTACCCTTGAATCGTTGCAATGTTCGTGCCATGGCTGTAGGTTCAGAAATCCAATCAAGATAACAGAATTGGAATGGGAAAACACAGCCTCATTTTCATTAAAAGAACAAAAACTACGCACAGCAAAACCTCAAAATCAGATGTTATGGTAACAGGCATACATAAGTCAATTGACAAATTCAAAACCGTCACAAACTAAAGAAAACATACGGCACCAAATTTCTACAAATCAGTTAAGAAATCATCACATGGCAAAAAATTATTGGGACTTCTTCGATTTAAGTTCAAAATTTCTAGTCTTGGGTTTAGTCCACGTCTTTTTCGCTGTAGATTTTCGCTGTAGATTTTCGCTGTAGATTTGTGTCCACAGCTTTATAACTAATCCAAGGGTAAAAGAAGACGGCAAAAGAAAATGGAAAATAATATGAAAATCCATCCCCTGAAAATATCCAAAACACCCTTGAATATCTCAGAAATCATATTGCGAAAGTTTAAACCCTATACGGAAAACTAAAAACCCTCGTCACCGGTTTGTCCATCAGCCGCCCGCCACACCAACTTCGCACCGTGACTCTGTGCCTGGCATTTGGTCCTTCACCAGAAAACTTCCAATGGATGCTTTTATCGCCACTGCAGAGAAAAAGGTTCTTCCTTTGTCTTTATATCTCACTACAGGCTCAAACTCTTCGCCGAGCTTTTAGCTCATAAATTTTTCTCAGTTCGCTTGGTTCGCGTATACTTATGTTTGCTTGGTTGCCGAGAAAACCCTATTAGAAACAAATTCAAACTAACAATTTATCAACTTTCAAGTTTAATTTAGTTTCTCTATATATGTTTTCAATTTGCAATATTGTTTAAATTAATGGGAAAAGTTGGATGCTTTGTGTGAATTGGTTTGACTCTTAAAATGTGTGGTGGATAGGTCCTTGTGGAAATTGTGAAGTTGTCCCAAAAGCGGGGAATGAAGGGTAATAAAGGAGACTGGAAGCAGTTCTTAAATATTTATGATAAGAAGTTTGGGGCTAGCTTGAGTGATCCCGGAAAGAGGTCAAACGATGTATTGACTGCGTATTTAAAGACATTTGATAAAGAGGATGACTTGAAGGTAAATCAACTGTGTCCAGAGTGTGCATGGGGAGTTTCAACTTTTAAGTTCTACACTTTTTTATATGATACTATTCAGATGATGATTGTTACCCATTTCCTAATTCCAGGTTTTGGCTAAAGTTGTCCAATGCCATTCAAATCGCCAAGCAGTTGATCAATTGTTAAAGACTTTTCCAGAAAATGAATCCCCAGAGCAGGTATTCTTTTCTGTAACTTTGGTATTGGTTGGCTGCCTGTAGTTTCAGAGAGCCATGTTGCCATAATTGTTAATTGCGATTTGATTTTCAATATGCACAATTTGTTAGATAGTATTAATTTTGTCGTGGTGGTGGCTCTGCAGAGTCTTGTCCGTTCAACTCTCGAACACCCACAATATCCATTGGATTATTCATTCCCTTCACATGAACAGGTTTGCAGGCAGTATCTCTGCTTACTTTTTGTTTTAAAGTTACATAAATTTGTGTATGCTTGCAGTGAAATCTTTTCTTGCATTTCTGCATGTCTTTAACTTCCATTTTTACTTCCTACACATAATATGCTGTTTCCTACTTGCCTATCATCCTTTTTTAGACATCTTAATTTCTTCAAATGGATGTAAGTTTTTACCTGGTCATCTGGTTTGTTAACTTGTGTAAATGGCAAAGCAGGACTGGGTAGTTTCAAAGCGCGGTAACAAGTCCAAGGCGACGATTTCAAATGGAATGGTTGCTGTTGATTGTGAGATGGTTCTATGTGAAGGTGGCTCTGAAGCTCTAGTTAAAGTGTGTGTTGTTGATGAAAATTTACAGGTATAGCTGCTCTCCTCCTTAGACTAGATACCTGATTTGTAGTTAGACCTTTTCATAATCCCTTCTCTATAACCCTTTAAATTTGGACTCTGGCTTTTCAGGTCAAGCTAGATGAACTAGTAAACCCTCGTAAAAAAGTTGCTGATTACAGAACTGAGATTACAGGAGTTTCTGCATCAGATTTGGATAGAGTTACATGTACATTGGCTGATATACAGGTATTAATGTTATTTATAGGTTTCAAGTGATTTTTTTATCATCTGGTTTCAGGGGATCAACTATGAACAGATTTTATTTTTTAAATACCCGAACTTCTTGTTGCATATTGTAGAAACGCTTGAAGAAGTTGTTATCAGTTGAAACTATTTTAGTGGGACACAGTTTGTGTAATGACCTGCAAGGTAAGTAAACTGATGTTTCTATAAGTATACTTGAGCCTTTTTGATTGCATAATCAACTCATTGAATTTTGTTTTCCCTTCAGTTTCTGTGCAATATGACTTTGCAGTTCTTTTGATTTCTGTTTTATTGTTCAATTTTCTTCTTATTATTATTCCTTTGTTTACAGCGTTGAAGATAGACCATGCAAGGGTGATTGATACTGCATATATCTTTAAATATTTGGATGGGCCTATTTTTAGAAAACCTTCCTTGAATAATTTGTGCAAGGCAAGTTTTACGAAACTTGCTAATATCACTTTTATTTCAGTCAAATTTTCATATGGTTCTCGCTGTGAAATCTATTAAGTTGTCTATGGCATGATTCTGCAATTGATTCTCAGTTTTTCTTCGTCCATTTTAAATTTGGCATGACCAGAAATCTTTTGATCTTTACTTTCTTGTTGCAATGTAGCAAATGTTTTCTAAATTTGGCCGTTTAGGATGGTGGCATAGATAACTTGTGATTGATCTCCTTTTTTTTTTTTGGCATTGCATAATTGCACTTGGGAGCTATTTTTATGATAAGTTTTTAAGGATTTGGATCACAATCACAAGAACGAAATCAAAGCAACCATGAATTTGGGCTGTTTGAGATGCCTGAGTCTTGACTTATTTTTCCATTTATCTTTTTGTTTTTTCCAGTCTGTATTGGGTTATGAAGTCCGGAAGCCAGGTTCTCCACACAATTGTCTAGATGATGCTTGTGCTGCAATGAAACTTGTTCTTGCTAAGATAAAGCGTGAAATTAGCGATATTATTCCCCCAGTTCAGGAGGATGTGAGTTTTTTAATTTTTCATTATATTTTAAACCCCAAGGCAGTGATTCCAGGTACACCATTATTGTCCTAATAACTCTTTCAATTGTAGGTACGTGAAGTTAATATGGCAAAGCTACTTCTCCACAGGATACCAATCACAGTGCCTAGTGAAGAATTGCACAATGCCATTCCTGGGAACTATACAATAGAAGTCAAGGTTCAATATATATCCCTTGATTTGTTAAATTTTCTATAGATTACGTTGGTTCAGTGTGCTTTGGAGGTATTACATTACTGTTCTACATGCAAAAGACCTCCACACATCATGTGAAGGATACTAAGTTGGGCTGCCTCCATTTTGATAAAATAGTCTGGGTATCATGTTTTTCTTTCTCTCCACCCTTCCTCTTTTTTCCCTGCTTCTTACTGTGGAGTTAATGTAGTTAATCATTTCCAGCAACCATCTGTTAAAGCTCAAGGAGATAAATATTCTGCCTTTGCTATCTTTAAGAATCCACAAGAAGCAGATCAAGCATATGAAAAAGTCCAAGGCAACAAGGAAAAGGTACATACCATAGGTGTATATTTATATCATTCACAGTGCTGATCACGTATATAATATTTTATTATGTACATCCTTTCTTTTCATGCAAGTATATTTTCTGGGTATACTAGCAGTTGATTTTCATTTGTGTTCTTTTTAAGTGATGAGGTTAATTGTCATTACAAGGAAACTTCATCTTCAATCAAGGCACTATGATCTAGTTGGTTATAAATAGATAACGTTGTTAATCTATCTTATTATAGGACTCATCTGGGCGGCCACAGAAGCTTATTTCATTAAAGCTCAGCAAGGGTGTATTTACTGATTTATACGTTCGTAAAATGGCACAAGATGATTCCTGTGCCCAAGTCTCTTCTAAGAGAGCTTTAGAAGTTGAAGAGAACTCAGGTGTACATAAGAAACAAAAGACAGATCAGAATATAGAAGAGGAGATGGTGGCAGACTTAAGTCAGTGCTGCGACCACCTTAAAGAGATAGAAAGATTGAAGCAAGAACAAGAAAAGGTGTCAGAGCAGTGTTGTGATCATTTAAAAGAGATTGAAGGATTGAAGCAGCAACTTAAAAATAAGGAATTTGAAATCTCGACACTGAATAAGATTGTTTCCAAATACCAAGGGGGAAAGAAAAAAGGGAAGTAGACTTTTAAGTGTGGCCCGGAATTATTCTAAAATTATCCGCTGCTTTGGAAGGCATGACATTGCAAATTTTTTGGCGAGCTTGTAACTCTTTAAGTGTGATGGGCAGATGCCATCCAGCCACAAAAAGAACAGTTTGAAGGTCTTTTTCTGCATTATGGTTCCCTGTCTGACGTTCATTGAAAAGTATGCCAGTTTTATGTTGGCAGCTTCATCTGACTAAGGGAATTTTTTCCATGATGCAGAATGTTTTTTTTTTGGGGGGAATGTAACTGGTTTATGTAATTTTTTATTGGTGATAATGTGTTTGTTTATTCTAAACAGAAAAGGAATAGATGTATGGTTAATGTGTTCCCATTTGAGTTCAATTGGTTCAGGTACGAATGGAGGTGCTCTTTCAAATATTGAATCTTTTTGCTCATTAAGAAGGCATAACCTGTTTCTATCACCAGTCAGTTTTCTTCGTTTAGCTAGAATTATATATGATACTCATTGTGATATTTCTATCACCTGACAATAGTTCAAACTATTCTGACTCGTACATTTAGCAAATTCCCATGGGATGAATTCTAGCTGAACAAAGAATGACCGACTGACTGGTGGATTTTGTTAAATTTGAAAAAGAAAAACTTGTGAACACGTCTCAAGCAGTTTTCTCTTTTCCCTGTTCAAATTTGCTCCTCTCTGTCTTCATTTTCTATTTGATTGGCAACTAGGGACAGCCCAAAGAAACTGGAAGGTAATAACAAATGACCAATCATTCCAACTTAACATTTGATTCCTATGGTGAAAACAATGAAGTCAATCAACCAACATCTGATTCCTATGATCCTTCCAAAATCAATGAAATCATGCGTATGGAATGTTTTATACATTGGTGTGTCTTATACAGTTTCAAGCAACAGCAAACCTGCTTCATTCACTATCAAAATCATCATCCCCGAAAGAGAAAACTGAAGCATCGGCAGCTATTGCCCTAATATCCTCTGCCCCAGATGAGCTCAGTTTGCGGGAGTGATGTACCAGGTGAGATTTTTCAGCTCCATCACTAGTTGGTTTTTTCAAAGAACTACTCTTCGGGGTATCCTCACTTCTGGTGTTAGATACATGATTAGGTGCTGGAAGTCCGGTGCTAGAATTACCTTGAGCTTGTGTGCGCTTTGTATCCCCAGCCTCCTCTCTGTCACTATCTGAAAATACATCATCACCATCTTCACGCTGAGGAGTTTTATTTTGATTGGGATTAGCTGCAACACCATGACTTGAAGCAGAGGCATCACTTGTGCTACCCTCAGGTTTTCTACTGGAAGAATCCGCTTTAGCTTTTGTAGGTAATGTACCATCATAGTCTATCATCACAACTTCAACCTGAAATCCTGGAGAAGGTAATTTTCTCTGCAAATCACAACCAACAGCTTTTCACCAGCAAGCACCAAGAAGAAATAGAAACAGATGGTAGAAAAAGGGAGATATGATCTACATTTGATATACATTATATGTCATAAGGTCACACCATTTACCTTGTCAAAACCATCGAGGTCATCTGCGGTTAAGATTTTTCTGTTATCTGTTATTGTATTTAACCAGCTGAAAGTAAAAAAAACAAAGGGAATAATTATGAAAGAAATCATAAATGATGTTACTAAGCAGGTTCCTTCAAACGATGCATGACACAAGCTACAGATCTCTACATTCTTCATTAAAACAGTGAAGGACAGTTCAATCATAACATAAACAAGAGTAAAACAAAGAATCGGTTTACAGACCAATAGAAATCTCCTTGACTATCATGGAAATGGATTTTGAAATCCCCCACTAACTCAGCCAGACCAGGCTCCCCTGGTAGAGCAAAAACTACAATCCCTTTCTTCCGTGCATTGATCCAGAAATCCTCTGGCTGAAAAAAATGAGTTAGGAGCCTTTAAATAAGGAATTCAATACATGTCTACATAGGTGTTAAGGAGATCAAATAACAAGCATACAATTAATATGCACCCATTTTATTTTAACAAGCACTTACCATTAGATCTTTTGTTTTTGGATGTTTTCTTGATGAAAATAAAATTCCTGTGGATTAAGGAAAACATCTTGATAAGTGACATAAAAAAATGACAAGCGCAGTGCATAGCCTTCTAGATGTGCAAAAGTGGGAAGGAAAAACAATTCTATCCATTTGACATTATACCAAAAAGAAAGCACAAGAAATTGTAGGAATCAACAACTGACATTATACTGTAATGGTGTGTTTACTAATCAGGAATTAGAATTCTCATTAGGAATTGAATTCCACATATGAAGGATTCATGCGTTTACTTCACATCAAGGAATTGAAACGTAAGTGGGGCCCACACAAAATTAGGAATTGAATTCTTGACTTTGGAGGAATTCAATTCTTGGGTGGGAGGTGGTATTCTAATTCCTGGAGAACTAACCCATTAGGAATTCATCTTTTTTACCCATTATATCCTCACACAATTTTTAAAATTCCAAATTTGTCATCTACTTTAACCCAACAACGAGGACATTTTAGTAATTAGAACCACTCCTACCCCAATTCCATATGGTTTAGTAAACAACTTCAATAGGAATCCGGAATCTAATTCTCCTCAATTCAACTCCTCATCAATTCAATTCATCCCAATCCAATTATGGATTAGTAAACATGCCATAAGTTTCGTTACAAGTTACAGAGATTACCTCTCATGATCAGGCCTTATAAAAACATGCACATGCAAGAAAACTCAACAATCAAACATCAGTGCGGAGAGGATAATCACACGTACACACACAAACAAACAAAATGTATTATCATTACAGCATCAAGGATTGTACTAATACACAAGGGTAATTCTGAGAAGTGCGGTCTGTAACTCAGTACTACATTCTCTTATCATAAATGCTCTTTTTACCCTAACAAACTCAAAAGGTCCAATAGTAACTAGTTCAGGAAGTGAACAGTAGCAGAAAAAGGATCAACATTAACAAATAACAGCATATTATATCTACAAATGAAAAGTGTGATGGCTCAAAACATCACAATATATTGCAAGGATGATAGGAATGAGCGGCAGCAGCAAAGTAAAAGGTTACCATTATGATCAGAGATTGTAATGGAGGGCCTAATCCAATAAGGGCAGTTGTGAAGCCGAAATCCCCTGAGCATGCACCTATAATATTACAACTTTAGTACCTTTTAAAATGGAGCCTTACACACACCCACATAATATATAGGTAGGTGATCAAATAATGATCTATGTTGAGAACTTTAGCTATAGACGACTGAGATGCATCTCACCCACTATGCACCTTAACCATCTATAACCGATCCAATAGCTCAGATGCAAGTCTTCAACTTAAGTCCCCAAATTAGGTCCTCATTACAACACCGCCATATCACATACATATGCATGTATATATGTATATGTGTGTGTGTGTATGATAATATATGGGCACATACTAGTAAATGGTCACATTGATCTATTTTGGAGGAAGATATCCGAAGTGTACCTTCGAGGGGAAGGGTTTTCTCCATTGAAGTTTTTTAAGATATGCTCAAAATATTTGACGTATCTCTAGGAAAAGCATAGAAAAATTGTTAATCAGAATGATGCTAAAAGATAAGGAACATCAACCTTAAAAATACAGAATCAAAAAGGTTAATTGACACTGACAATCTGACTTGGGAGAACCAGAGCCTTTCCATCTATACATCTTTTATGGTTATAGTAATTAATGGCCTCCTCGGCCGTCTGGAAAAACTGCAGAGAGATGACAAAAGAAAAATGAAATTATAGTCAGAAGTGAAGAACTATAGATCCAAAAGAAGCGCAACATTTCGAGTTCCGCCATAAACCCCCCAAACCGTAACGGTTCTGATTATACATCTCACCTTAAGAAATAAGAGAAGACTACAAATCATTAATCCTGTCCTCCCCATACCAGCTTTACAATGAACAACAACAACATTTTCAATGCCCTCCTTTAACCACGAATGAGCACTTCGACAGAATGATGCTATGAGTTCGACTGGGGGGCAATTATGATCATCAAATGGGAAACTTGCAGCCTTAAAACATTCAGAGAAGTGAAATATTAAAGAAGCTGTTATTCAACATAACTGGAAAACAAAAGTGCAACATTGAAAAGTTAAAACCTCTCGATCCATTTCACATTCTGAATAAATATTCAAATCCCAGTGGCAAGCTTTCAACAGTATTCTTTCTCAAAATAAAACGCATAGAAGATAAATCATAGCTCTCATTAAGTGTTTCACATCATTCACATAATATATTTATGATTTCATTAGTGTCTATTTTGTTATTTAATCGAGATGTGAGTTTGAAGTGGAAAACTTTAAAAGCTCCCTCAGTGATACAGAAGTCATCAGCATTTTGTGTATATAAAAAATTCAAGCACTTAACCTAGCCCTAATTTTTCCATTTACTTATAATAAGGCTACACATTTGTGCAAACATCAAGAACCAGAAATCTTAGTGACACAGTCTCACAACCTGGTGCACTGACAAAGTAATTGACATTCCACCATGGCTATCTGGTACAAAGACAAGAATTTAATGTATTGAGTTATGCCAATAGATATGCCAGAGAAAATTTTGAATCTTGCAATTTTCCATAAGACAGAATATCAAATTCCTATACTTCTTGTTAAGCATTGAACATAATGCAAGTGAAAATGAAAACACACCTTCCCCTCAAATCGTGATGCATCATACAACCTCTCTGAACAAAGATTGTACACTTTATATTTTCCCTGTAAAACAAATGCCAATTTGACATAAATTATGTGAATAAATTATTGGCCAAAAAAACAAAGAAGTTACAATTTAAAAAACGACAGAACCGTAGCTGGTCATGATCCAGAGAAATGTAAAACCATATTCTTAAGCCTACAACTTTTCTTTTAGTAATTAGTGGAATGCTGATCTTTTCTTGAATCATAACCAGATTTTCATGTTGTATAAAGTAAAAAGTAAAAATTTCAGCCTTAAAATTTAACATCCAGTTCTTACCTTGTGTTGAGTTTCCAAAAAGTTGATAACTTCTTCCATATGATTTCGATAAAAGCCCTGAATAACATTTTTTTTAGTTGGTAATGTTTGCAAATGATACAGGCGAACTTAACCTATTAAACTTCAAACATATACCACTTGCTTTTCTTACCTCAACATATCCAAAAATTCCAGAGCTTATATCTCCAGCCGGGAAACCCATAGCAATTATATTTTCAGTAATATATGTCAGATCCAAATCAAAACCTCCCTCCTGAAAATTTAGTGGAAATAGATGACATAAGCGATCTTCATGAGTTTTGGCTCTTTGATTTAATCTGTATGATTTGAAAATGAATATGGCAATCTATGATGGAGACATGAAGCAATGACAATCAACTAAAGGGAGATAACAGACGCTAGCAACCTACGCAGCTTCCCCATCCGTAAACCGCATTCGCATTCTAACAGAAATCCAAATGGAAATAAAATACTTGAATTTGTAGCTACAGTCAGCAGTATTTAATCTAGAAGAAACAAAAATTGAAGTAGCTCTCAACTCTGGTAATCTACCTGGTATCTTCGTTTGTTTTGAGAGACTAGATGGCGAGCCTTGACCTGCACAGCCTTCACTGCACTCTGAGATGTATTAACCAAACCTTTTGTAAATGATTGAAAAACCCCAGATACCGCTTTGGCATATTGATTACTATTATCTTGACCAGAGGCAGCAGCAGCAGTAGAATTTTCAACACCAGAATCTTGAGCAGGAGGTTGAGCTTTCGAGTCATTAGATTTTGAATCCATTCTGGAACTCAATGGAGATCCTAAAAACTACCCAGGTAGATAGAGCATTTATCACTACAAGTCCACATCAATAGATACCAACAACAAAGTGATTGCTTTATAACAGGAAAATAAGCAAAAGGGTTCAATCATTGGAACTTGGAACCCAGATGAAGGATTTAATCAAAGCATTCACATTCAAAGCTAATAAATGCACTCAAATAGAAACATGGGTTGAAGACAACAATTAGAGTTGTTGATGAATAAACAATGCACCATACATCACAGAGAGGAAGATCTGTCAAGATTGCTTTTGCAATGGACAATGTGAAATTTGCATATTCATGAATTTATGTACTGCGAATCTACTCGCATCAACATTTACCAATCGAATTGATAAATTCAAAAGATCAGGTGCCAAATTGTGGCATATAAAAGTATCGAATGGGCAATGTGAGATCACTTACCGTTACAGAGTCTGGGTTTGAAGCAAAGGATTGTGTAAAAGCGAAGACCCTTTCACGGTTTTACAATGAAAATTGAAATGAAATTAATGCTGCAGAAAAGGGGATGTCGTGTGATTATCGCCGCATGAACCTTTCACTCTTGCCGGCCGTTGTTCGTTATACAAGCTTCCACTAATTTATGGGTTTTTTTGAGTAATTTTTTGGCATGATGATTTTTTGGAGTAGACTCTTTTTGTTAAGAGATGTATTTATCCGCTATCTAGTGAGTGGTTTAATGATGTGTTTTTTTTTAATGATGTGTTTGTCTATGCATATGATATTACATGATTTTAGATTCCGGTTTTTCTCTCTTACATAGGTAAGTATGGTGATTATTTACCACATGCGCACATAGATTGTAGCTCGATAAGTTTTTCCACATACACTACACTGGTATCTATGCAAATTTTCCTATAAAAGCCTAATTGTTTTCAGCACCTAATATTAAAAGGATGAGCTGACAAGAAGTTTATTTTCTTTTTCTTTATTAAAAATAAAAATTTATAAAACCAAGATGAGTCGTCTTAAAAAATTTGATGATCATTGACATAAAACAGGAAAAAACATAAATGTAGAAATAAAAAGCAAGTGGGACCAATAGGCGTACATGGCCCAGGCCCAGATCCCATCCAGATCCAATTGTGCCTGAGTAAACCGGAAATAGATCCGGTCGAACCGGACTATCAGTAAACTGGGGTCTCCTCCTCCGAATGAAATAGCCCAAACAAAACCATTCCCAAGCTCTCTGCATTTATCAAATCAAACGACAACAAATAAACAGAAAAAGCCGCGCGCCCGCAGAGAGAGAAATTGAGAGAGAGAAGAAAAGAGACCACCAAAGAAACAACAAACTCGGCAATGGACGCTGGAGCGGCGGGCGTGGGTCTCGCCGCGGACGATCCGTTCAAGGGATCGCCGTTCGCCGCCGTCTCTGATTGGAGCAACGGCATCTCGCGCCGTTACCAGCACGTGCTCGACCGTACGACGCCGCACGTGCTGTACCGGTGGCTGGCGTGCCTGGGCGTGGCCTTGGTCTACGTCATCCGCGTGTACCTGGTCGAAGGCTTCTACGTCGTGTCGTATGGCTTGGGGATCTACATTCTCAACCTCCTCATCGGCTTTCTCTCTCCTCAGGTAGACCCTGAGATCCACGACCTCTCCTCCGACGGCCCCTCCCTTCCCACCCGCGGATCCGAGATAGTACACATGATCAAATACAAATACGTTCCCTTCTCCTTTGGGAAACAGGTTTGCCTTCACCCTCTAAACAAACCCATCTTTTTATTTCAATCATTGATTTCATGCCCATTGTCCTCTTTCTTCCGTGATTCCCATCTTTTTATTTCAATCATTGGTTTCACGCCCATTATCCCGTTTCTTCTGTGGTTCATATTTGGTTGTTCTGATTTGCAGCGGTACAATGGAAAGAAAGCTTCTTCATCTTCAACAGAGACCGCAGGCCTCCTCCCCAGGGACTGAAATCTTCAGGTACATTCAGTTAATTTTTTTCACTTCTGTTTAAACATAGGTTATAGGTGACAATTTATACTGATACATCATGATACATTATGTTAAACAGCCAAGGGTTTTTTTGGAAGATATATATGGTGTGGAGGAATCATCTTGAGGAGCTAATTCTGGCATATTGGATGATTTTTTTGGTTCCCTTCGAATATCCCTCTGGACCAGCTTGATTATGCCCCTCTGTAATTCATATTTGGTTGTTCTGATTTGCAGCGGTACAATGGAAAGAAAGCTTCTTCCTCTTCAACAGAGACCGCAGGCCTCCTCCCCAGGGACTGAAATCTTCAGGTACATTCAGTTAATTTTTTTCACCTCTGTTTAAACATAGGTTATAGGTGACAATTTATACTGATACATCATGATACATTATGTTAAACAGCCAAGGGTTTTTTTGGAAGATATATATGGTGTGGAGGAATCATCTTGAGGAGCTAATTCTGGCATATTGGATGATTTTTTTGGTTCCCTTCGAATATCCCTCTGGACCAGCTTGATTATGCCCCTCTGTAATATTTTGCTTTGGGAAGATGAAGTGGTTGCTGAAGGCCTTTTTCCTTTTTGAGTTCTAGTATAAAGGATCCATTTGTATAGAAGGAACATGCTTTACTTTCCATTGCCGAATAATTAATCCAGTGGCATGTACTTTCATGAGCTTTTGCAGTGGGAAATCCTAGCCATCCTCTGCAATTGGGTTATGTCATTTTTAGTTGTACTTTTCATCGTGTACTCTAATCTGGGCTCAATGCAGTTAATTTCCTCGGCTTAACGCCGAAAATTGTTGTTTATTTGGTTTATGCTTCTTTCACATTGTGAGTCTTGTGAGGTATCAATCTAGGTGCCTTTTGCCTTATTGATTGTTGTTTATGTTGGAATTGTAATTGTTGTCTCCTGTTTGTGGCACAAGAGCTATGCCCAGCTTCTGAACTAGAGATGAAGTCTTACAATTTCTTGAAGTAGTCATAGACCATTTTTGGGTAATAGTGGTTATCATTTTAAAAATTGGAATCATACGTAGACTTTGTGTTGAAGTTTGGATGACATTGATACCTTAGAGGACATTGTCGTGCCGATGATGAAGGGCTTCTTTGAGTTAAAACTTTCTTTCATAATTTATTGCTTCAATTATGAGATCATAGGAATCATATGCATTAGTTACAATGTGTATCCAAAACAATCTATAAACTTGGTTTGTATAGCATGATTTGGCTTGTAAAAATGGATGAAACCGTAGTATTGTACGGAATTTGTGCATCACAACCACTCTCACTCTGCAACCAAAAACTGTAAAGAGGAAATGCTTTGGAGGATGAACTTTAGTTTGGTGGCCTGTAATAGCCATAGACTCCGTAGAAGGTCTGTGCAAAAGTGAGAAACAACAAGACGACAGCGGCGACGAAGGAGAGGATGGCCCATGGATTGTTGAAGTAGTTATGCTTCAAACTGGCCCGCCATGCATTCCACCTGTGGTCGTAGTAGCGGTTTACTTCCTCCGACAGACGAGAAAGATAACTGTCATTGATATCGAAAACCACCTCTTGACAAAGTCGGTTAAATAGGTCAGCAACCTCAGCATCGCTGCCAAGCCAGTGCTCAATAATTCCACAATAATGGAGGTACCCCACATCCTGTGGAGAGTTGATCAAGTTGTCCATGAAGATCACATAGGAAGTAATATCATTGCTGCAATCAAGATGACACTGCTCAAACGCAATGAGATTGAGAAAAAGAGACTTGGTTCCATCATGGATCAAGAGCCTAGGAATTCTTAGAATCCCATTCTTGAACTTGACATCCCAGAACCGATCTGTCTTCCTTTTCTTGAACTTGATCCCAGCCTCCTTAAGCTCTGTAACACAATGAATCAACTGTTGCCTCCGCTTATCAGCAACCCGATTGGCGTGTGACCATTTCTTGATCCAAACTCTCGGCGTAGGCTGAAGCCCTGTGCGCAATAGACTTCGCCTGAACACATCAAGGCAATGAAGGCCACCTTGATCAGAGAGTGGATCAAAGGTGTTTGCATATCCAAGTGAAGACTCAAGTTTGTTTCTATCACTCTTTGTTAACGGCTCATCTGTTGGCATTAAAGGATCAAAAAACCGAAGTGCTAGCTTGGCTACAAGTCCTTTCTGCTCAGGATCTCCAAACTGCAGCCCCAACAGCCTATCAAGGATGAAAAGTGGAAGCTGATTCTCGAGCATGATCATGTCCCTCTGAATCGAATGCATCGAACCACGCATTGCAAAGACGGGATCGTTTCGAGGGTACCCCAGTTGCTTAAACCCCTCAGCTGCGCCACGAAACAGCTCCAGCACAAAGCAACCATCAAGCACCATCATTTCAACAAACTCATTGCTGCTTATCCCCATTGCAACCGGTCCTTCATAGCAAGCACGGGCCTTTTCTTCAACTTCTTTTATAGAATCCAGATAGAGCTGTATGTTCTGGTTGGTACGCTTGAGCATGTGGTGAAGCGAACGCCATTTGTGGCGATCCATTTGGCGAAGGCGTCTCCTGCCATGGTGGTAAGGCCCTAATGACACAATCTGAGGGACAATGGCTTTGTCATCACCTTCTCTTAAGTAATGGGGGACTCTGTAGATGCAGAGTTTTGCCCATGTACCCGCTGCATCGTCTTGACCGGCTTGTTCAAGTTTGTCTTTGATGTTGATCACCCACTCGGAATCTGGTGACGTCGTTCCATCTTCATATTTTTTATCACCACCATTTTGGATCACAATTTGGAGGGGCGATGGTTGCTGCTCTTGTTTCTGCACCTGCTGATGAGCTTGTTCTGGCAATTCAATTGATCTGTTAGTGGAGGTAGTAGTTGTTGCAATTCCAGACTCTACTGTTTCTCTGAGTTTGACTGTGATGAGGTACCAGCTCAAGAGCTCTTTGTTGAAGACAGCAACCATTTTTGGTTGAGAATGAATTCTATGCTGGGCTTGGTTTGGCTTGGCTTGGATCCTAAGCAATAAAAAGCACAACCTGCAAATGGGCAAGACAACTATGAAGGGGTTGAAAATGATGGGGTTTTTGCCAACATCATGACATAAATTGGGTTTAGATGATATTTTATTTTATACTTTAATAGACCTAAACCAATTATGCAGACCCTTTAGATGTAATGTGGGGTATGTTGTTCCATCATCATATTGTCATGCTAGCTATTTTGAATTTAAGAATTCCCACTATATCAGATTGAAAAGGCTCTCTAAGGGGAAAAAAAAAAAAAAAAGAGAGGATAAAATCAGATTTAAAATAATTAAAAAAAAACAAATAGAAGTTTAAAGCGACGTAATTTTAGTCATGAGCACAAGATCAATCAGCAGATGACCTATAACACCTAATTTTCCTTTCTTAGAAAAGTTTGAGAGGGTTTATTTGTGAATTTTAATGGAAGCAAACAAGGTCCTACCACAAAGTCACACAAGTGGCTAATTAGAAAATGAACCCAAAAGGTTTATGACTTTCTTGCAGGTGGTAGAAAGAAGATGGGAGAGATGATATTAATAATTGTCATTAACTTCCTGTTCTAGCATTTTCATGTGGAACAAAGAACATGCACAGAAGAAGTTGACAGAATATTAATATTTAATACCAAAACAAAGGCTAGTTTGCTGTTTAATCGTGGCCTCCTTCCACTCTGTTAACAAAGTTGCAAGGAAATGATCTCTGTTATATGCTTTGCCAGTGAAACCAAAATTATATCCATTGCCAACTCTGAGGGCTTCCAAAGGCAGAAAAGAAAGTGTTGGGAGCCCATGTATTCTCTCTAAACCAAAACCCATGTACTCTTAAAAATCACACAAC